CGTGTTCCTTGTCAGGGCGGTCATTGGTGGTGGCCAGGCACCATCTAGTTCTTGTGGTCTGAGGCCAATGGAGTCTCTGGTTTATGTGGCCCTTTCTGTCCTTGGACTAATATTTTCCTTGTGTCTTTGGTGTTCTTCATTCTCCTTTGCTCCAGTTGGGACCAACTGATGCATCTTACATGGCTGCTCACTAGCTTTTAAGACCCCAGACTCCACTCACCAAAATGGGATGCAGAACATTTTCTTAACAAACTTTGTTATGCCAGTTGACCTAGATGTCCTCTGAAACCATGGTCCCCAGACTCCTGTCCCTGCTGCTCTGTCCCTCAAAGTGTTTGGTTGTATTCAGGAAACTTCTTAGCTTTTGGTTTAGTCCAGTTGTGCTGACTTCCCCTGTATTGTGTGTTGTCCTTCCCTTCACCTAAGATAATTCTTATCTACTATCTAGTTAGTGAATACCCCTCTCCCTCCTTCCCCACTCTCATAACCATCAGAGAATGTTTTCTTCTGTGTTTAAACCTTTTCTTGAGTTCTTATAATAGTGGTCTCATACAATATTTGTGCTTTTGTGACTGACTAATTTCACTCAGCATAATGCCTTCCAGATTCATCCATGTTATGAGATATTTCAAGATTCATCGTTGTACTTTACGTTGTTTGATTTCTTGACTGCTGCTTCCGTGGGTGTTGATTGTGGACCAAGTAAAATGAAATCCTTGACGACTACAGTACTTTCTCCGTTTATCGTGATGTTGCTTATTGGTCCAGTTGTGAGGATTTTTGTTTTCTTTATGTTAAGGTGTAATCCATACTGAAAGCTGTGATCTTTGATCTTCATCAGTAAGTGCTTCAAGTCCTCTTCCCTTTCAGCAAGCAAGGTTATGTCATCTGCATAACACAGGTTGTTAATGAGTCTTCCTCCAGTCCTGGTGCCCCTTTCTTCTTCATGTAGTCCAGCTTCTCAGATTATTTGTTCAGCATACAGATTGAATAAGTATGGTAAAAGGATACAACCCTGACACACACCTCTCGTGACTCCAAACCATGAAGTATACCCTTGTTCTGTTCAAACAACTGTCTCTTGATCTGTGTACTGGTTTGTCATGAGCACAATTAAATTTCCTGGAATTCTTATTCTTGGCAGTGTTATTCATAATCTGTTATGATCCACACAGTCGAATACTTTTGCATAGTCAGTAAAACAGGTAAACATCTTTTTGGTCTTCTCTGCTTTCAGCCAAGATCCATCTGACATCAGCAATGATATCACTGGTTTGGCGTCCTCTTCTGAACCTGGCTTGAATTGCTGGCAGTTCCCTGTCAGTTACTGCTGCAGCTGCTTTTGAATGATCTTCAGCAAAATTTTACTTGCGTGTGATATTAATGGTATTGTTCAATAATTTCTGCATTCGATTGGATCACCTTTCTTTGGAATAGGCATAAATATGGATCTCTTCCAGTCGGTTGGCCAGGTAGCTGTCTTGCCAATTTCTTGGCATAGATGAGTGAGCACTTCGAGCGCCTGCATCCGTTTGTTAAAACATCTCAATTGGTATTCCATCAATTCCTAGAGCATTGTTTTTCGCCATTGCCTTCAGTGCAGCTTGGACCTCTTCCTTCAGTACCATTGGCTCCTGATCATACGCTGCCTCCTGAAATGGTTGAACATCAACCAATTGTTTTTGGTGTAGTGACTCCATGTATTCCTTCCATCATCTTTTAATGCTTCGTGTGTCATTTAATATTTTCCCCGTATTGCAGCTCGAGGCTTAATTTTTTTCTTCAGTTCCTTCAGCTTGAGAAATGCTGAGTGTGTTTTTCCCTTTTGGTTTTCTAACTCCAAGTCTTTGCATGTGTCATTATAATACTTTACTTTGTCTTCTTGAGCCACCCTTTGAAATCTTTTGTTCAGCTCATTTACTTCATCATTTCTTCCATTTGCTATAGCTACTCGATGTTCAAGAGCAAGTTTTAGAGTGTTTTCTGACATCTATTTTGGTCTTTTCTTTCTTTCCTGTCTTTTTAATGACCTCTTGCTTTCTTCATGTATAATGTCCTAATGTCATTCTGTAACTCGTCTGGCTAATGTTAATGTTCAACACGTCAAATCAGTTCTTGAGATGGTCTCTAAATCCAGGTGGGATATACTCGAGGTTGTATTTTGGCTCCCGTGAACTTGTTCTAATTTTCTTCAGCTTCAACTTGAACTTGCATATGAGCAATTGGTCTGTTCTGCAGTTGGCCCCTGGCCTTGTTCTGACTGATGATATTGAGATTTTCCATCATCTCTTTCCACAGAAGTAGTTGATTTGATTCCTGTGTATTCCACCTGGTGAGGTCCACGTGTATAGTAGCCATTTATGTTGTTGAAAAAAGGTATTTGCAATGAAGAAGTTATTGGTCTTGGAAAAATCTATCATGCGATCGCCGGCATCATTTCTATCACCAAGGCCGTGTTTTCCAACTAGGGATCCTTCTTCTTGGTTTCCAACTTTTGCATTCCAATCATCAGTAATTATCAATGCATCTTGATTGCATGTTTGATCAATTTCAGGATGTAGAAGTTGGTAAAAATCTTCAGTTTCTTCATCTTTGGCCTTAGTGGTTGAAGCATAAATTTGAATAATAGTCATATTAACTAGTCTTCCTTGTAGGTGTATGGATATTATCACTGATGGCGTTGTGCTTCAGGGTAGATTTTGAAAAAATGGACACATGTAGCTTCTTTAAAAAAAGTTTGAGGCCACCTAAAGTAAAAGACACATTACAATAAGGTTATTAAAATGCAAATAGAAATACAAAAAGAAATAGAAAATCAAAACAATGAAAAGGAAGAGAGAAGAAGCAAAAATACTGTTTAGAAGGGTTGATAGAATTATTAGTTGAATGTTAAATTTTGCCTTGAACATATAAGATAATATAAAAAGTAGATAATTTGAAAATAGTTAAGAGTCCCTGGGTGGTGTAAGCAATTAAGCACTTGACTACTAGCCAAAAGGTTGGTGGTTCGAACCCACCCAGAGGTGCCTCAGAAGAAAGGCCTGGTGATCTGCTTCCAAAAGGCCACAACCTTGAAAACCCTATGAAGCAATTCTACCCTGAACACATGGGGTTACCATCAGTCGAAATTAACTGGACAGCAACTGACAAAACAATAACAAATATTTACTTAGAAAAGACAAAATCTTTCCTGGTTCTAAATATGTGACAAGATTTATCGTGTGAGGTGTTGCACACTGTACAGCTACACAGTGTTCTTAGTAAGAATTTTAAAGCAAATGAAGGAGCAAATTTTCTCTGTTTCTTTTATCAATTTGTCTTAAAGACTTAGAATAAAAAAGTTAAAGCCTAATTCAGTGAAAGAGAGTCTGCCTGTGTGGAGGAAGGGCAGGGGGCTTGTGGGCATGTCAGCGTGGCTTTTGGAGATTTCCTAATCAGAATAGACATCCTTCAGAATGTGGGCAATGAGCAGAGCCTCCTTACCCATCTGGTATAGCTTCTGCAGCACTCTGGGAGTCTTGCCCAAGAAGGAGAAGTATTTTGGGGATGAAGGAAGGGTGTCCATTGCTTCTGGGTTTTTGCTTGGTGCCATTTTTGCATGCCTTTAAAGGATGGCCATATCTATAGTCAGCACAGACAACAGTGTTTACCCTCATGGAGCTTCCAGTCTTAGAAGCAGCCTGACACACCGGAGACAGCATAGACTTGGGAGACAGGGAGTCCTGGACTACAAATCTCGGCTCTGCTATCTAGTTGCTCAATGACCTTGGGAACTTACCTAACCTGTGAAATGACTCATAATACCATCCCAACTTTTTAGGACTGGTATAAAGATTAAATGAAGTAAAATGTAAAATGGCAGGCACGTACCCATTGCCATTGAGTCGATTCCAACTCATAGCAATCCTATGGGACGGAGTAGAACTGCCTCATAGGGTTTCCAAGGAGTGGCTGGTGGATTGGAACTGCTGACCTTTTGGTTAGCAGCCAAACGCTTAACCGCTGTGCCACCACACTTAATAAGTGGTAGCTATCAGTAGTGATAGCAACATAGGGTCGCTATGAGTCGGAATCCACTGATGCAGTTCTATCTCCTAGCATGTTCCTCTTTCTATACAAGTTTTTCCTAAATTGCTCTAGCTCTCGCTCTTTGTCCAGGCTACCCAAGTCTGCTCCAAGACCTTATTTCCTTGATTTCCACTGCAAGCCACCACCACCCACGGTTAATCTCCCCTTTTCTGTTGGTTTCTTCAGTTAGTCTAATACCAGATACAATTTACCACATAAAAAAATGCCCACCCCGCAAAAGCAAGGCTCTCCTGGATTTTATTAACACTTCAAATTATGATCCCCCTCCTTTTTTTTTTTTTTACTCGACAGCAACGGGTTTGGTTTTTGGTTTATTATTATTAGTAGTAGCAATAATAGTAATAGAGAATATGAGAGAGGTGCACAATCAAACATAATGCATGGCAGTATATGAAAGTAGTCTCTGGGTGGTGCAAATGGTTAAGCACTTGGCTGCTAACCAAAAGGTTGGAGGTTCAAATCCACCCAGAGGCACCTTGGAAGAAAGACTTGGTGATCTACTTCTGAAAGATCACAGCCATTGAAAGCCCTATGGAGCACAGTTCTACTCTGAAACACATGGGATCGCCATGAATTGGGATCGACCGGTTGGCAACTGGAAGTATGTAGTTGCACAATCACTGCTTCTGTGAAGCTGTCCCTAACTTTGCCAGTCAGTGGGTCATTCTTTGCTGCCTGCCTCATTAGACTGTGTGTATACTTATGTTATGGCACCTGTCACACTGCGGTGCATTTGTTTGGTTCCCTGTTTGACTCTCCCTTCTACACTGTGGGTTTTTGAGGATAGGAGCAAGTATTAGTCAATACACAGTCCCCAGCACCTAATGCAATGTCTGGCGCATAGTAAATAATAGATATTGGTTAAAGAAAAAAGAAGGAATAAAGTGAAAACTGTTCTCTTTCTACCAAAGGGGAAGGGGGGACCCTCACCATGTGGCTGTACCTGGTGGGCTTCATGGACCTGTACTACCTTCTGCGCTGGTACTGGGAGACGCAGGTGGTGAGCCACCTCCGAGACAAGTACGTCTTTATCACAGGCTGTGACTCGGGCTTTGGGAACCTGTTGGTCAGGCAGCCGGACCTGCGAGGCTTGAGGGTTCTGGCTGCATGTCTGATGGAGCAGGGGGCTGAGCAGCTGAGGGGCCAGACGTCAGACAGGCTGGAAACGGTGATCCTGGATGTCCCTCAGACAGATAGCATTGCTGCAGCCACCCAGTGGGTGAAGGAGCACATGGGGGACAGAGGTATGAAGAAGTGTTTTTTCCTTGTCATTTACCTAGGCGTGAAGATGCTAGGGTTTTTATATGTCTTTTTATGTATATATATGTAGGTATGTGTGTATGTGTGTATGTGTGTGTGTGTGTGTGTGTGTGTATATATATATATATATATATATAGAAGGAGATATAGAAGGAGTCCTGACTGCACAGTGGTTAAGCACTCAGCTGCTAACTGAAAGGTCAGGGGTTCGAACCCACCAGCCGCACCGCAGGAGAAACATATGGCAGTCTGCTTCCTTAAAGATTACAGCCTTGGAAACCCTATGGGAAAGTTCTGCCCTGTCTTTCAGGTTGGCTATGAGTTGGAACTGACTCAACGGCACAGAACAAAAACAAATGCACACACACATATATATAAAACCTGTTGCCGTTGAGTCGATTCTGACTCATAGGGACCCTATAGGACAGGGTAGAACTACCCCATAGGGTTTCCAAGGAGCAACTGGTGGATTCAAACTGCTGACCTTTTGGTTAGCAGCCAAACTCTTAACCACTGCACCACCAGGGCTCCATCTATCTATCTATAGGTATAGAGATATATGCATATATAAGTATATGTGTGTGTATGTGTGTGTGTGTGTGTGTGTAGATACATATATATTAGAAGCAGGGCTTGAATGGCTAGTTTTGTCATTTGAAGGACAGTCATGATTTTTTTTTTTAAAGTCTATTTATTTATTGACTTTTTATTGTACTTTAGATGAAGGTGTACAGAATGGTTTCTTATTAAACAGTTAGTAACATACTGTTTTATAACAATGGTTAACAACCCCATGACATGCCAACACTGTCCCTTCTCAACCTTGGGTTCTCTATTAACAGCTTTCCTGTCCCCTCCTGCCTTCTTGTCCTTGCCCTGGGCTGGTGTGCCCCATTAGTCTCGTTTTGTTTTATGGGGCTGTCTAATCTTTGGCTGAACAGTGAACCTCAGGAGCGACTTCATTACTGAGCTAAAAGGGTATCCGGGGGCCATAGTCTTGGGGTTTCTCCAGTCTCTGTCAGGCCAGTAAGTCTGATCTTTTTTTGTGAGTTAGAATTTTGTTCTACATTTTTCTCCAGCTCTGTCCAGGACCCTCTGTTGTGATCCCTGTCAGAGCAGTCAGTAGTGGTAGCCGGGCACCATCTAGTTGTACTGGACTCAGTCTGGTGGAGGCCATGCTAGTTGTGGTCCATTGGGGTCCTTTGGACTAATTAAAGTCAATTTATTATGGACGTGAATCATATGTACAAAATACTTTCACAGCAACACCTAAATCAGTGTTTGATTGACTAACTGGGGACACATAAAACTGACTATCACACCCCATTTCTGATAGTATTTTGCTTTTACATACTGCTTTAACTGGTAACTAAAACATTAACTAATGGGAGCTGAATGTTTCTGAAGGGTATTTTCATTTTATGAAGATATCTGGAGAGCCAAAGGAATGAAACAATAATGAAATACAAATAGTTAAGGTATGTGTGAGTTGGAGTGGAGTATTGGTGGTTATGAAACCTTATACCTATTCCAAAGGGTTTCTAAGTCGCACCTGGTGGATTTGAACCGCTTACCTTTTGGTTAGCAGCTGGACTCTTGACCACTACGTCACCAGGGTTTCCATTGTTATTTTATAGATGCATTTAAATAGATTAAAAAAATATATTTTGTCTAGCATTTTTAGTTGTTTTCAGCAAGAAGATTGGTCAAAGTAAACAGTCTGCTGTTTTGTCTGAAACTGAACTCTTGATTTGATTTTTATTCTTTTAGGACTCTGGGGCCTGGTCAGCAATGCCAGCATTATTTACCCAACTGGCTGCAGTGAGTGGCTGCAGATTAAGACCTATGTGAATATCCTCAAAGTGAATCTGATGGGTGATTGAGGTGACCTTGAGTATGCTTCCCTTGGTGAGGAGAGCACCGGGGAGGATTGACAATGTCTCTAGCATCTTGGGAAGAATTGCGTTCTTCGGAGGAGTCTACTGTAGCTCTAAGTATGGAGTGGAAGCCTTTTCAGATGTTCTGAGGTAACTGTTAAGTTAAAACAAAGACAAGTATGGAGCACTTAGATATGTTTCAGGCATTGTGCTCGTTGCTTTCACATTATCTTAGTTCATCACTCCCAAAATCTTGATTAAACAAAAAACCAAATCAATTGCTGTCATCAATTCTGACTCATAGCGACCCTATAGGACAGAGTAGAACTGCCCCAGAGGGTTTCCAAGGAGTGCATTTTGGATTCGAACTGCTGACCTTTTGGTTAGCAGCCAAACTCTTAACCACTATACCATCAGGGTTTCCTTGCACAAATATTATTACTAATCTATTTTACATGGAACACTGAGACTCAGATTCGTTAAGGTTATTTCTCAAAGCTCATCTGCCACAGCCAGGATGTGACAGAACTGTGTTTTGTCTCCTGTCACCACATCACACTTTAATTTCCAAGATTTATCCTTGATGACATTTCATTTCTGAAGAGAGGATGACTACCTTCTTTTCTCCTTAAAGTGAACTTATCATTATCCCTTCAAGGTGATTCTTTCTCTCTGGTTGTTCATCTGCTTCCGACTAACCTCTTCTTTCCCTTTACTCTGTATATTTTTTCTTTCTTATAACTTCAATTTGCTGTGACCCCTAATGATGCTGCCTCTACGCTTGGCTTTTCTGCATGCATTATTTGAATGTCATGTCCCTCTACCAGTTACTTCCTTCTCTTTATATTTCCTAGGTTGGAGTCCCAAGAGAGAAACCTATTGGTTGAGCTGATTTTTTTTGTGTAGGTCAAGTGACGCTGTGGTGTGTCATTTTTGTGCACTTAATATGTTTTGGGCACTCTTCTAAGTAATTTTCATAACAACCCAATGAGGAAGGTATTATTTTTATCCTCATTGTATATGTTGGTGGCACTGAGGCACTGAGGTTTAGGAATTTGCCCATGGTCATGTAGCTAATAAGGGGCAGAGACTATCCAGCCCTCAGATGGACTCTCCTTCCATCAAGAACCCTCCTGGTGTAGCCACCGGGGCTCCAGCCAAAGATTAGACAGGCCTAAAAGACAATCAGTAACACAGGTGAGGAACATGCTTCTTAGATCAATCAAGTATATGAGATGAAATGGGCAACACTTGCCCAGGAACAAAGACGAGAAGGCAGGAGGGGACAAGAAACCTGGACGAACGGACATGGTGAACTCAGGGTGGAAAGGGAAAGGGGGAGAATGCTGACTCATTGCAGGATTGCAGCCAATGCCATGAAACAATTTATGTATAAATTTTTGAATGAGAAACTAATTTGCTCTGTAAAATTTTACCTAAATCACAATGAAAAAAAAGTTAATAAATTCAGGAACTGAGCAGGGTGAGTCTTAATCCAACCTCAGTGTTGTCCTTATAAAAGAAGAGAGTAGACACAGAGAGACAGACAGAGGAAAGACAGCCACGTGAAGATGCATCTATACGCTAAGGACCCCTGGGACTACAAGAAGCTGGCAGAGACTAGAAAGGGTCTTCCCCTGGAGGCTTCAGAGAGAGTATGTATGGCCCAGCTGACACGTCAGTCTGGACTTCTAACCTCCAGAACTGTGAGATGATACATTTCTGTTTATACAGGCAACCCAGTTTATGGTATTTTGTTATAATGGCCTTAGGAAACTAAGATAGCGACATTTAGTTAGTACTTCCACAGTGTTGTGCAATCATCGCCATTATCTAGACAATGAAAAAGAAAAGAACCTTGCTGGTCTGATTAGCTGTAGATATGAGGGTGTAGTCACAAGGTACAAAATATAGCTGCACAAACTCTTCTTCAGCAGGGGCTGACAAGGGGCAATTTCACTTGGAAATGAGCTGTCAATATTGCAGGCACCATGACTGGTATGTATCTATTACAGTAGGCACATTATATTATCTGCCTAAAAAGGAAAAGGGACATAAGCAAGAGAAATACCATGAGTTGTTAACATGTGACAGGCAGCTCGCCTAGCTTCCTGCCCACCCAATATCCTATCTACTCCATGTGACTGCTGCCAGCTGATTTACCACCGCCCACCACCACCCGGGACTGTTCTCTTGGAGTCCTTGACTCATACTCAGGCCAAGAGCAAAGACATATCCTTCCTATGTTCAAATCACTGTTTAATTCCTTTAGAAAATTTCAGTTTGCCATAGTTGTGCTAAGGATAAACATGGAAAGGAAGTTTTGCCCCACATTTGAGTTTCAGCTTTAAAGGGGAATGGAGATTGTGGTGTGATAGGAATCAGAGTGAGAAAACTCTGAGGGGACGTGGAATTCAGGGGAGCAGAGTCACTTCTGGCTTGTATAGCCCTTCCCTCTTCCCCCAGTATACACAGACATCTGGAGAATCTTTTTCTGATGCTCAAATCCTGAAGGCTTTAGGTTTTGGTTTGATGATGGAAGCTTTTCCTTAGAACAGTTGTTCTTATACTTTAGCATGCCTCAGAATCACTTAGAGGGCTTGTTAAGACAGGTTGCTGGGTCTCACCCCCAGAATTTCTGATTTGGCAAGTCTGGACTGGGGCCTGATAATTTACATTCCTAACAAGTTCACAGATGCTAATGATGCTACTGGTCTGGGTCCAAGATTTGAGAACCACTGCTTTAGAGAGTTATGGTACTTTGTGTTCTGCCTTTGTCTTAGTCATCTGGTGCTGTTGTAACAGAAATACCACGAGCTAATGGCTTTAACGAAGAGAAATTTATTCTCTCACAGTGTAGGAGGCTTAGAAGTCTGAATTCAGGGTGCCAGCTCCCGGAGAAGGCTTTCTCTCTCTGTCGACTCTGGAAGAAGGTCCTTGTCATCAATATTCCCCTGGTCTAGGAGCTTCAAGGATACACTCTGCTCCTGGCACTACCTTTTTGGTGGTATGAGGTCCCTACGTCTCTCTGCTCACTTCTCTTTTTTATGTCTCAAAAGAGATTCATTTAAGACACAATCTAATTTTGTAGATTGAGTCCTGCCTCATTAACATAACTGCCTCTAATCCTGCCTCATTAACATCATAGAGGTAGGATTTACAGCACATAGGAAAATCATATCAGATGACAAAATGGTGGACAATCAGACAATACTGGGAATCATGGCCTAGCCAAGCTGACACACATTTTTGGAGGATACCATTCAATCCATAACAGCCTTCTTACACTGACTATAATTTCAAATCTGTTTCTTTTTGACGGCAGCTTGGGCTTCATCTCCAGCAAAGCTGCCTGAACCCCCAGGCTAGGGAGCACTCCTCATCACTGTGCCCAGAGCACCCAATGTATACCTCTACCATGGTGCACAATATCATTTTACTTGTTTATCTCCGCACAAACTCTAAGATCCTTGAGGGCAAGAACCATATCTTACTTTACTTGGTGTAGACAGCGCTTAGCATAGTGCCTGGCACACAGAAAGCCCCTGATAAGTATTGGTGGAACTGTTTGTTGAACTGACCTGAATATTCTGGAATGACCAATGACTTGTAATTTTAATGCCCACAGCATATTCCATTAATGGCCCCTCACAGTCTTTGAGCACACTGTAGTCTTTCACAGGCCCTTGCATGTGTGGTTACTGCTGCCTGTGTGCCGTTCTTCCCTGTCTTCACTTGTAGATTTACTCCTTGTCCTTCAAGGTTCAATTCAGTGTTCACTGAAGCCTTCCCTGACTCCCTCAGAAAATCTGACTGCATCTTCCTCTCTACTTCTGTAGTCTCTTGAATACCTCTTCTTTATAATTCTTTTGCGTTGTGTTACAGTTATTTGCTTATCAGACTCATCCATTGTGAGCTTTTTGAGGTGGGAAACTAAGTCTTAATCTTTTTTTTTTCTCTCAGCGAAGACTTTTTTTTTAATTGTTGTAGTTTAAGTGAAAGTTTACAGTTCAAGTTAATCTCTCATACAAAAATTTATACATACATTGTTATGTGACCCTAATTGCTCTCCCTATACTGTGACAGCACACTCCTCCTTTCCACCCTGGATTTCCCATGTCCATTCAACCAGCTCCTAACCCTCTCTGCCTTCTCATCTCACCTCCAGACAGAAGCTGCCCATTTAGTCTCATGTATCTACTTGAGCTAAGAAGCACACTCTTCACAAGTATCATTTTATGTCCCACAGTTCAGTCCAATCTTTGTCTGAAGAGTTGGTGTCGGGAATTGTTTTAGTTCTGGGTTGACAGCGAATCTAGGGGCCATGCCTTCTAGGGTTCCTCCACTCTCAGTCAGACCATTAAGTCTGGTCTTTTTACTAGAATTTGAATTCTGCATCCCACTTTTCTCCTCCTCCTTCAGGGACTCTGTGTTTTGTTCCCTGTCAGGGTGGTCATTGGTGGTAGCTGGGCACCATCTAGTTCTTCTGGTCTCAGGCTGAGGAAGTCTCTGGTCTATGTGGCCCTTTCTGTCTCTTGGGCTAATACTTTCCTCGTGTCTTTGGTGGTCTTCATTCTCCTTTACTCCAGGTGATTGGGACCAATTGATGCATCTTAGATAGCTGCTTGCTAGCTTTTAAGACCCCAGATGCCACTCACCAAAGAAGGATGCAGAACATTTTCTTAATAAACTTTGTTATGCCAGTTGACCTAGATGTCCCTTGAAACCATGGTCTGCAGACCCCTGCCCCTGCTACTCTGTCCCTCGAAGTGTTTGATTGTATTCAGGAAACTTATCTTTGCTTTTGACTTCCCCTGTAGTGTGTGCTGTCCTTCCCTTCACCTAAGATAATTCTTGTCTACTATCTAGTTAGTGAATAACCCTCACCCTTCCTCCCCACCCTTGCAACCATCAGAGAATGTTTTCTTCTGTGTTTAAACCTTTTCGTGAGTTCTTATAATAGTGGTCTTATACAATATTTGCCCTTCTGTGACTGACTAAATTCACTCAGCGTAATGCCCTCCAGATTCCTCCATGTTATGTTTCATGGCTTCATCATTGTTCTTTATTATTGCGTAGTATTCCACGGTGTAAATATACCATAATTTGTTTATCCGTTCATCCGTTGATGGGTACCTCAGTTGTTTCTTTTTGCTATCGTGAACAGTGCTGCAGTGAACATGGGTGTGCATATATCTATTCGTGTGATGGCACTTATTTCTCTAGGATATATTCCAAGGAGCGGGATTGCTGGATCGTATGATACTTCTATTTCTAGCTTTTTAAGGAAGCGCTAAATCGATTTCCAAAGTGGTTGTACCGTTTTACATTCCCCCCAACAGTGTATAAGTGTTCCAGTCTCTCTACAACCTCTCCAGCATTTACTATTTTGTGTTTTTTTGGATTAATGCTGGCCTTGTTGGGGTGAGATAGTATCTCATTGTAATTTTGATTTGCACGTCTCTAATGGCTAATGATCATGAGCATTTCTTCATGTGTCTGTTAGCTGCTTGAATGTCTTCTTTGGTAATGTGCCTGTTCAGATCCTTTGCCATTTTTTAATTGGGTTGTTTGTCTTTTTGTTGTTGAGGTTTTGCAGTATCTTGTAGATTTTAGAGATTAGACACTGATCGTCTTAATCTTTTAAGATTGCACATGTAAAACACTTAGAACAGTGCCTGTTGTAATAAATGCTAATTATTTTTATTTTTTGTATTCCTCATGCCTCCAGTATCTATATGGTAGATACTTAATAACTGTTAAAGGAGTGAATGCAAGGTTGAATGGTTATGGTAGTTTATTTAATCCTGTCCCAATTGTTGGACCTAGGGATGTTTAAAGTTTTTCTTGTCTCCTCTATTTCTTTAAAATATTCAGTAAAGGTGTTTTTATAACCTTTTTTTTTTTTTTTTTTCCCATGAAAGCATTGAAATTGTGGTATCTTTCAATGAAAGGAGTTAATTGAAGGGTTTTGTTTCAGGCGTGAGCTTCAACATTTTTGGGGTGAAAATCAGCTTAGTTGAACCTGGCTACTTCAGAACGGGAATGGCAGACCTGCAGCAGTCCTTAGAGAAAATGAAGCAAGTCTGGGAAGAAGCCCCTACAGATATCAAGGAGACCTACAGACAGCATTTTTTTTTTTCATTTTGTGTGTAAACTTCTACATGAGTTTTTACAGTAACGGTCTCTTACAATATTTGTCCTTTTGTGATTGACTTATTTCACTCAGCATAATGTCCTCCAGTTTAATCCATGTTATGAGATGCTTCACAGATTCATCATTGTTCTTTATGTTTGCATAATATGCCATTGTGTGTATGTACCATAGTTTGTTTATCCATTCATCTGTTGATGGGCATCTAGGTTGTTTCCATCGTTTTGCTGTTGTGAACAGTGCTGCAGTGAATATGGGTGTGCATATGTCCATTCATGTGACAGCTCTTATTTCTCTAGGATATATTCCTAGGAGTGGGATTGCATTTTGTAGTGTTTTTTTTTTTGTGGTGCTGTTGTTTTCTTTGTTCCTCTTACTCTCCTGTTCTGAGTTTCTTTTGTTTGTGGATTTTTTTTTCCTTTGTTTTTGTAGGTTTTGTTTTTACTGAGACTTTATGTTTTTCTTCTTTATTTTGATGAGTAGGTTTGTTAACTTTATTTGTGGTTAACCTTGAAATTTACCCTTACCTTCCTAGATTTGAACCAGTCTATTATTACTTGGTATCGCCTTGCCTTCCTCTCCATTAGAAGGTTCTATACCTACACCATTTATTCCCTCTTTTATTGTTCTGATGCTGTTGTCAGTTACAGATTAACCTCTCTGGTTCCGTGTTGTAATTCTTTCGGTTTTGCATAGTCCTTAAGAGTTCATTTCCTAGGTTGGTATCTGGCTAGTACAATCCTGTGTCCTATATTCAGCCTGTGGTCTGATGTCGTTTGTTCTCAGATTGAAGGACTCCCTTTAATAAGCCTTGTAAATGTCGTTTGGTTTTTACATAGTCCCTTAATTTCTGTTTATCTGGAAATGACCTAATTTCACCATCATATTTGAACAAGAGTTTTGCAGGATATATTATTCTTGGCTGACAATTTTTTTCCTTCAAGGTTTTATGTATGTCATTCCATTGCCTTCTTGCCTGCATGGTCTCTGCTGAATAATCCAAGCTTAGTCTTATTGTTTCTCCTCTGAATGTGACTTTTTTGTTTTTCTCGAGTTGCTCTCAGGAGTCTTTGTTTGTCTTTGGTTTTAGCGAGTGTGATTATGGTATGCCTTGGTGATTTTCTTTTGGGGTCTATCCTACGTGGGATTGGTAGAGCTTCTTCAATGGTCGGCTTTTCATCTTTCATGATATTGGGGAAGTTTTCTGTTGGCATTTCTTCAATGATCCTCTCTGTGTTTTCTGTTTTCTCCCCCTGTTCTGGAACTCCGATCACTCGCAAAGTTTTGCTTTTGATTGTATCCCACATAATTCTCAGGGTTTCTTCATTTTTCTTTGTTCTTTTTTCTGACTTTTCCTCAGAGTTGTAGCCAAGTGTTTGTCTTCAATTCCGCTGATCCTATCTTCCATCGTTTCAAACCTGCTCCTCAGCCCTTCGGTGACACTGTCCATTTCTGAAATCTTGTTGTTTATCTTTTGGATTTCTGATTGTTGTTTTTGTATGATTTCTATTTGTGAATTTATTTTCGCATTTTGTTCGTGTATTATTTTCATGACTTCTTCCATTTTTCTGTATTTTCTATGAATTTGTCTGCCTTTTCCATGGATTTGTATATTTTTTCCTCATTTTTGTCTGCTTTATGCTTCAACTCTTGGATAATTCTGAATATTAGAGATTTGAATTCCCCGTCAGTTAGCTCTAGTGCCTTTTCTTCTACTGGAAGGTCATCTGGTGTTTTATTTTGGATGCTTGTTGGAACCATCTTGTCCTGTTTTTGTAAATGTTTTGATATTGTCTGCTGTCTTTGGGGCATTCAGTGGTTATTTTCCTCATTTATTGATTATAGATTTGTTTGTTTTGTCCTGCTTTTTTGTTTATTTGGTTATGTCTGAGCAGGTGGGCTCTGCGTTCTTTGTGGTTTGCTCGTCTGTAGGCACCATACTTTTCACCTCCTTCTCTAATGGGCAGGGTCGGACAGCAGTTTTTTGATGCCTGTGAGCTTTTCTCTTTTGATAAGGATAATGGGTACCCTTGTACCTTGCATGAGAAGGGAAAAGTGGGTCAGTGGAAAATGATTGGCAGAGCCTCTGAGAACAAAGCCTTCTCAGGACAGGCAGGAGCTGATGGACACTTAGGTTGTTTCCAGTGCCCTCACAGTTGGCTTGATGATGGCTGTTACAGCTGAGGAAGAGGCCATATAGGCAGACGGGGGCTGGATCTGCCCTGCCCTGTCACCTGTGGGCCTGGCCACCTGAGCACTAAGGAGGAATTGCATGGTTAGGAGCATGGAGCCTCTGGGTCTTGAGAAGGAGTGCCTCTTGGTAGGTTGGTAGGGCTGGTGTGAGAGGCCTGTTCGACTTACGTGCAGCCTTCAGAATTGTCTCCTTATTGTGACTGGAGGGAGGGTGTAAGGTGGGAGAGGTAAGTGGGCGAGTGCCAAGTTTGCAGGGCCTTGTGGGCCATTCCAGGAGCCCTGGTGGCGCAGTGGTTAAGTGCTTGCTGCTAAACAAAAGGTAGGCGGTTTGAACCCACCAGCTTCTCTGTGGGAGAAAGGTGTAGCAGTCTGCTTCTGTAAAGATTATAGCCTTGGAAACCCTATGGGACAGTTTTACTCTGTCCTGTAGAGTTGCAACGAATCTGAATAGACTCAACGGCAGTGGGCCATTTCAGGAGACTGGATCTCACATCCAGGCCAAAGGAGCCCTGTGGGAGTGAGAAAGATCATTCTGATGGCCTGCAGGAGGAGGCAGCTTGGGAGCGGAGGCAAGGCAGTCCTCTTAGTAGAAGTGAGTTATGCACCCTGGCATGGAGCTGAGCCTTCCTGGGGGAAGAGATGCTTTTTCTTCACACAAAGGGGTCAGCAGCTTACCAAGGCCAAAGGGAGCAGCCCTCTTTTCCATTTCACATAAAGGCCTCGTGGTAGATAGCAGCAGCCTTGTCACTGGATTTGGGTGACTGCAGCCCAGAGAAAAAGAGAAGGGGAATGTGCAGACAGAAGATTCTGATGTAGAGCCCTGTCTTCTCAGTGTATCAGGCCTAGGGTAACCATCAATAGAGGGGAGAGATGAGAATCAAGGAAGGGCTGACAGGTAACAGTGCCTGAGCCACTCAGAACTCATAACTTGCTAGGTAACTGTAGTTCCCAATATGCCAGAGTGCTGGGCATTGTTCTAAGCTCTCCCCCACCTGAATTTTAAAACTGTTAGGAAATTTTTCCCCCCTTGTGGGTATATATCTATAATTTGATGATAGAAGTCCATAAGAAAATAGAATTGACTAAGAAGTGACTGTATATAAAAACAGGGATATATGTTATTTTATGATTTAAAAGGAGTTGAAATTGTTCATTTATTTGTCCATGGAGCAGAATAATCTAGATCAGTGTTGTCCAATAGAAATATAATGGCATTTGTAATCATAAATTTTCTAATAGCCACATTAAAAAAGGAAAAAGAAACAGATGAAATTAATTTTTATAATATATTTTATTTAATCCAATATACCCGAAATA